CTTTATATCAGCATAATCCAGGAGCGCTGGTGCAATAGGCAGAGGTCTCTGGCACCAGTCAGTGATGCCAAATATAATGTAATGTGGGAACTGACTCAAAGGACATTTAAAGGTCCCTTCCAACCCAAACTATTCTATGTTTCTATGATATTCCAGCAAATATTAAAGGAACTTCATGAAGTCTCTTTAGAAGCACCATAGTGGCCAAGACTGCAAGGAGAGGATGGTAGTGGGTCTGTTGCTTCAAGTGGCAAAATATCTGCATGTGTTGTAGAAGAGATCAGTGAAACTCAAGGGTGGTCTCAGTTTACCTCAGTGGATAAGGCGTGTATGAAAGAATGAAACAGTGCAAAAACCTTCTTTTTCCTCTACCCCACATGTAGAGGAAGAACTGTCTGTTGAGATGCTACAGAATACAGTAATACTCCAGGGAATTAACAGGCCTAGTATAGACAGCTGCAGGGTGAACACATGACTGAGGCCAAAGAATTAGAAAAAACTCTTTTCCTGAATTTTCTGGGTTTTCTGTTTCAGGGCAAGTGTGTTTTGAGAAATTCCAGACACACACAATCATCTCATCTGACAAAGTTGTAGCTCAAAACCCACTTAGAAAAGGAAGTAGGAGATTGATCAGACAACAGAGGAGAAAATAATTTCCACGGAGATCTCCAAACCTTCAAGATCTAAATAAGAACGTGCAATTGGAAAATGTTTCTATGAAGTGTTTGGAGAAATTATGTGGCATTCCACTTCATGTACAGCCAAGGGCACCATTAGATTTGGATCTTGAAGAACATTGGGAAGTGGGTATTAAAAGGAATACTTACATGCACTGCACGTACCCCTTCATAGGAGGAGCAAAACTAGGAACAACAGTAACTGTCACAGAATCATTGAATCATAGAATCTTTGGGTTGGAAGGGACCTTTAAAGGGCATCTAGTCCAATCCCCGTGCAATGAGCAGGGACATCTTCAATTACATCAGGTTGCTCAGAGCCCCATCCAACATGACCTTGAATGTTTCCAGGGACGGGGCATCTACCACCTCTCTGGGCAACCTGTGCCAGTGTTTCACCACCATCACAGTGAAAAGTGTCTTCCTTACATCTAGTTGAAATCTGCCCTCTTTCAGTTTAAAACCATTACCCCTTGTCCTATCACAACAGGCTAAAAAGTCTGTCCCCATCTTTCTTACAAGCCCCCTTTAAGTACTGGAAGGCTGCAATAAGATCTCCCTGGAGCCTCCTCTTCTCCAGGCTGAACAACCCCAACTCTCTCAGCCTGTGCCTATAGGAGAGGTGTTCCATCCCTCTGATCATTTTTGTGGCCCTCCTCTGGACCTGCTCAAACAGGTCCATGCCTTTCCTATGCTGAGGGTTCCAAAGCTGGACACAGTACTCCAGGTGGGGTCCCAGCCGAGCAGAGGGGCAGAATCACCTCCCTCAGCCTGCTGGCCACACTTCTTTGGATGCAGTCCAGGATACAGTTGGCCTTCTGGTCATGAGCACATATTACCAGCTCATGTCCAGTTTTTCATCCACCAGTACCCCCCAATTCCTTCTCAGCAGGGCTTCTCTTGATCCCTTCATCCCTCATCCTACTGATACTGGGGCTTGCCCCAACCCAGGTGCAGGACCCTGCACTTGGCCTTGTTGAACCTCGTGAGGAGGATTTCCAACCTAAGAAACATAATGTTTCAGTCTCATGTTACAGGGAGAAGCTGGATGCTGAAGGTCCTTACCAAAAAAATTGAAGAAGACCTGTTTGTAGTCTAAATTAGAGTATATAATGATTACTTTTCAAAAATGTTGCTTTTTACTGTATTTTCTATGTTTTTTTTTATTTCAATATTCAATGAAAGATACAGGTTCACACATAAATACAGATGAGTTACATAGGAAAGTTTCAAAAGACAAAACTGATTTCAGTTTTCCCCTTTTGTTGCACATGAATATAATATAGATTGATACAGTTATCTGATAAGAATTTTGATAGTAAAAGTACTCATGTAAGCAGTTACACCAATTCCCTTGAGTGCATTATTCATATTATTTTTTTTCAGAATGAGTTATCAGTCTATCGGTTGTATCAGCCTCTAAGAAAATGTATGTACAGCGCTTGAGCCATGCCAATGAACACCTATCATTCTGTTGAACCAATCTCATAGCTGAGCAATTACAATGAACTTTAATCATCCTGACACTTATTATATTTTATTAGACTTATATCTGAAATCAGAAGACTGTCATGTTTAAAGAACAATGCCTTTACTCTGTTACTGGTATTAACACTACTGATACCATTTCCTTCCTGGGATGGTTTTGTCAGTTGGGTTCCTATAGAACCATACCAGATACAATAGCTTCTCCCCTATTGTTGCTAGTGCTCCATCTTGAAAAAAGTGAAACAGTAAATGATATAGGTGACAATTATTTTTTTTTTACACTAACTGAGAATCCTTCTCACAAACAGCATTTTTAATTCATCATTCATGGTTCTGTAACATCTATTTTGCACTGCATAAGTAAAGCAGGCTTAAGATTAAATTCAGCATCTGTCTTACTCAAATGATAATGAATTTACCCACGTCTTGAATATGCACAAGGTCCCAAGCTTTAAGGATGTGATGCCACTAAACTCCTTTTGAACATGGACCAAAAGTGGTTCTTCAAAAAGATGCTAACCAAAAGTCAACCTTACTACTCTATTTGCAAATTCAGTCATAACTACATATTTCCATTGCAAAATAAAATTCTAAAAGTTTTTCTTAAGTGCCTGATCAGAGCAGCTAAGAGAAATGGAGATGACCCTAATCCTTATTCATTCTCAACATAATGGTTTATTAAATTCAGATTTTTGTAAATCAGCTGAGGACAACGGTACTATTTAGGTAACTCTTACATCTTACATAACTTTAAAAGATTAAAAATTCAACAGAATGAATCTCCCCTGAAAAGCATACATTCAAATGAGGAATAAGTATGGAACCCAGCAATGCATTTTCAGGCAAAAATTCTACAGAGCGGACTTATGAAAACTCAAAGCTATGCAAATATGAAGTATGAATTCCCTATATGACAGTAAACATATGGTAAAGGACATAACCTCATAGAAAGTAATGTTTTAAAGTATGTGATTCAGTGACTCCATGATTCAGATGCAGTACACTTGGCTACAGAGGACGTATGATCCTTGGACATATGTTAGACAGAATGCAACTATCTTTGAGAAGCTTTAAAACCATCATGTTTAATACAGTTTATACTTTTTTCTAATTTACAGAACAATTTACAAGGTTGCAAGGTGATATTGGACAGTATGATACAAAAAATATAATGCTACAATCTAAAAAATATATTGGCTTACTGTGAAATTTATTAAGATATATTAAATATATTTATGACAACATTACTATGAAAATATAACAGTATGGTAATACTTTAACAAGTCTTTTGGACACACCCTTCAAAAATGTTTTTTCCATGACAAATCCTTTACAAAAATACATCTCTGTGTGTGTTGTTTTTCTTTTTGACAGACAGAAAACACTTTTTTCCTTTTTTTTTTTTTTGTGTTTCCTCCCCATATTTTCATTTGCATTGGTTTTTTTCATTTACTGTAAAAGGGTATAAAATATATGTGATGTATCACCGATAACAGTGACAAGCCTAAATAACTATTTTGTATGTATGCATGTATTTGTGTTACAAGAGACTAAAAAAATAATCTTTTGTCCTTGAAAGAAAATTATGTGCAAAGACTGGAACAAATGGAATTTATTTGTTTTAGTTTGCAATAAAATTTTCAACACCCATCTAATTGCCTGTTCTAACTTCATATCCCAGGGGTCTCAAGCCACCAGCTGAGAAACACTGCCTTAGGGAGAAACAAACTGAGAAAAAGAGAATGTTTTTGCAGTAACAGATCTTGACAAAATAGTTCCATCAACATTGTTACTGACAAAAAATATAGATTCAGGCTTCCATTTCAAAAACATGTTTAAATTTCATGAAATTCTTTCAATCTAAGGAACAAAATATAAATTAGCTAAAAACAAATACACTAAAATGTTTAAAGTGAAGATTTTTTAATTTTGGTTGAAAGCATAATGTAGTTTAAAAATTTATACTTTGTTTCCTCAAATGAAGGAAAGAGGAGAGGAGGGGAGAGAGGAGAGGGGAGGGGAAAAAAAACTTGGAAGTTGTTCATTATAACACAATGTTCCAGTAATTTGAAATTTCCAAATTTAAAATTAACCAGGTGTTTGCATAGCTCTCAGATTCAGAGTTCAGATTCAGTAGTACTTCTACAATCTTTGGCAAGTCATTCCCTGTGTATAAATCTGCCCTCTTTAAAGCCATATGCTCTTTTCTATTTTCAGACTACCATTTCTCCAAGATAGGACTACTGTAGATGAACCACAGTATGATGACTTCATTTATATTAAATAATAGTTTACTCTAAAAAAATAAGAGCCATTTCAGTGTTGCTACTCAGTTTTTGATATGTAATTTTATTCAGTGGTCGTAAGTATGGTTCAAAATAACAAGGCACATTGCTACAGCTGCCATGATCCCATAGAAAATAAACTGCAACTCACAAACTTTACTTAACTGTATTTGTATATAAAATAAAACAAAACTTTTAATGTATCCAAAGCACCAGAAGTTAGATTTATGTGGAGTGCAAGATCTAAGGATTTCAAAAAATGTTAGAATGTTAGCTTTCAACAAAAACATGCTTCAGCATTGTACTTAAAACTGTTTTCCTTTAAACAAAAACTTCCATATCAATCCACATGATTAATTTTTGATTTTTCTGTTTTCTTTATTTTTTCATGTGGGTTTTTTGTGTTGTTTAATTATTTTTTGTTACCACTTGAAGTCTGTCTCAGATACCAGATGAGCAGTTTCATAAATTCAGTTTCAGAAGATTAAATAACCCACCACAACCAGTTTTTTCCCCCTATATTTCACAAAGAAAAATGCAGTGTTATTACCTCAGGAGAAGGTAGTTGAGTCACCACTGTATCACCCATTGTTGAAGTAAGAAGTTTGTCACCTAGAATACTTTCTAAATAATCTGCCATTACTTCCTGTTGCTTAGGGCTGCAGTGGTTCTCCAAAGACAGTACAATTGGATAGTCAGATGCCTGGAAATATAATTTAAAGGCTTTTATTATTAATAAATATAAAGAGATCTACTTGATTTCCCAAAATATCTTACAAAAGTCCCTTTGGTAATCTGTATTTTCCTTTATTTTCAAAACTTTCAGAATATAGGTCAGTTGTTTCAGTTTAGTAACACAATAAAAAAGCTCACAATATTTACAAAAGAGAAAGCACAATTGAAGAAGAGAAAAAAATGTATCCTTAGGAAGTTAAGGGGGGTTAAACCAGGGCTAGACAAAGATGGAAAAAAAAAAAAACCAACTAGGGAAATCAAAAGAAGATCTATTAAGGAGGACAGAATACTACATTAGAGAAACCAGTTAATATTTGTGCTGATCTTTAGAAAACACATATTGAAGTGTATTTGTCCAATAATCTATAGAAAATAATTTATCATAGGCATTTAACATACTGATTAAAGTTGGATGTAAAGAAAGTAGAGAGAAAATAAGTGTTAAATCAGCCCAAAATCAGGCTGATTCATTATTGCACAGAGCAGAGTGCAACCTGGAAGCAAAAAGCAGAATTTCTCTTTGTTTGTATTATAGTTATGTACAATATGCTCTGTATTAGTAAAAACAGGTGAGTTACATCTATTGGCTTATGAATAACAGTGAGATAAAACCATACTTTTGTTTTCACTATCTTTCAAAATCAGAGAGTAATTAAATTTTATATAGAAATCTGAACAGAAAAAAAAATAGCTTTGCTTAACTCTGAAAAGGCTATAAATATGTATGTATAAAAGTAGATATAAATGTATGATCATAGGTGTATATATTCACACACATAATGCTGGCCTGAATTACAAGAGTTATCTTAATAGTCATTCAGGACTTCATTTGAGCAGGAGTTTTGCCAGAAACCTATACAAAAGACTGAGACAGTGCCAAAAGCTCTCCAGCTTTCGCTGCTTTGCCAGAGATGAGCAGAAGGGACATCACCCTAACGAGTCATCTGACGAAAAGACAGCAATAGATGGCAAGCTTTATCAGGCCTTGAATTCAAAATAAAAAGAGAGGAAATGGAAAACAGAGTAAGTCTCCAACTTGGCTATAATCCAAGATTTTTCTCTACTTCATAAATTCAAGCTCCTATAAGACAGACTGACAACAACAGAAAAATAAGTGAAGTAAAAAATTGAAAAGGTATAAAGAAGGAGTAAAACATCAGACTGATTCTCAAGTAGTTCACTTATATTCAGTCCTTGCTTAAATGACCTCAGGTGAGAATTCCACCTAACAAGTCAAGTAAGATCTACCGAATTCCTTGCACCAACTTTGGTTTATAATCATTATCAGCAAAATATGTTTATCATTCCTTAAATAAAATTTTAAAAGATATTAAGAACAGATAGCATGATTTTCCCATAATTTATTTCAACAATGCCCACTGCCACAAGCATTGTCGCTGTTTCATACTTTTTTACCATAGAGAATCTGACAACAACCATGTCCCTGGGCTTTCTTAAAGCCACCATCATATTTTAACCAAAATATATATATATATATACATACCACAAATGCATACTTGTCTACCACTTGAATTACAGAATGAAACGGAATTTTGCTTGTTAAAGTGTGACCATGGTACACAACAGGTTCATTGTTTGAGCCATCCCAGCAGTCAATTTCCAGGCAACGACATCCTTTTAAGAGAGCACTTCAAAAGAACAGAAGAAACAATTTTACAGTCAAAAGAAAGATACCACACTTTCTTATACAAGTTGCTGTATTTCTGATTATAAGCACACAGAATAATTACAAGAACCCCTACTTCTTTGTCACAAAAGAAAATAAACCCTATAGAATTATACTGATACAAGACAGAGCTATATTTTTTGTTGTTTATCTTAGTCATGTTAGGTAATAAACTTTATCAAAGCACTAAGTAGTAAGGTCAATTATCCAAATAACTTCCATGAAGAAACTAAAACCAAGGGTCAAAGATTTAAATAAAAGAATTTTGGAATGATGACAAATTGTTGCTTAAAACAGAAAAAGAAATATTTGAAAGGGCCTTTTTTATTACTATTTCAGGATTTGTCTGCAAGTTTGAGAATCATAATTAAAAATAACAGCATCGCACTTACAGAATCAGGTTGTGCTTGGTTTTTACATAACTCAGTTGTACTCCCCCCACCTTATTTCTTAGAGAGAGTACTAACGTTTCTCGGATGTCTTAAATTTAGTCAAATTTTTATTATATTAATGGCACCCCTTAAAGGTTTTAAATTTCTAATATTTGTCTTGTTACCAATTTAAACATTTCTTGTAGACTCTTTTACCTAATTACCAATCTTTTCCATGCTAACAGTATCTCAAAGATGCTTCTATCTTATTTTAGCATTTTATATTTTCCTTACACAAATAGTAGATAAAGAGGAAGAGAGGGGGTATTATACCCTCTTCGCAATTACTTTAGGTGACGCAATATTAATGTCATATGATTTTAAATACTGTTAGAAATAAATTCACTAGTGTTTCTGATCGTTGCAAACCATTATAGAATATCCAGAGAACAACCAAAACAAAAAATTTCAGATAGATGATAGTTCCAACTACTTTCACTTCACTAAAGTAGCACAAAGTAATAGGAATGCTGGACACCTGTCTCCCAAACTCTTCATATTTTCTGTACACCCTCTGTATTGCCTTTATTAGATAACCCATTTTCTCCATTCTTGATCGTTTCTTCTAAATGTGTTTGGGCAATAAGGCATCCTGGTTTCCCTCTCCTCTTGGAGTCAAATGCTGGACATTCAACGACAAAGTTTCTTCTCCCTCCTGGCTATTACAGTGCACCCATTTGTTGTTGTTGTTGTTGTTTCTAAACTGACCACATTGCAACATACACTGATCACTGATATACTTGACATACTCCACCATACTGTGCCCTCATGGCCTGTATATTGATCAGATAAGAGTTTGCCCAGGAATTCTACAGTTATTTCAGGGAGTTATTTATTTTTACATGTTGACATTAAAAACTGATTTAATCATATACTGTGCAGCATACTATAGATTTCATTTGCTGTGGGGTAGATTTTTTGAGATGTAAGTGAAAAAATAGATTGTTTCCAGACTATGAACAGATGGTTTGGCAAATATATTGAAAAGTGTACACACAAACTAAAATACCACTCTAACGTTTTCTGTTTCTATCTGTGATGGTTTTGTTCCTCATTGCCAAGTAGAATTATAGGTGAATTAGTATTCATTTTAAAAAAGCCAAAGAGTGTTTAAAATACAAAAAAACCCAGTAGCTAAATACCTGGTATATCCCCATAAATGACTGGGTCCTATTAGTTGGTCAGATATCAAGTAGGTGTTGTGAGAAGATGAAATAAAATAGTCACATAATGGGTGGTTCATATCTTGGTAGATGGTCCTGTGATCGTTTTTAAATATTGAACAGTCTTCTGAGCTCATGTACCTTACAAATCCTTCAAATGACATCTGTCTTCTTTTCCTCACTGAACAAAAAAGAAAGAAAAGAATTTCTGGTGTGAAGATAAACCGATGGTTATATCTGTATATTGTCTATAATTTTAATAGCCAATTCTGAACATTGCTAAAGGTTATATAGCATAACACTTTCCTACAATTTTAAAATTCATAACAAATAATACAAAGACAAACTTCAGATGTGTGCAATTCTGGAGCTTTGTGCAATTGTTTTGGTTCAAAATTATGTGAGGAAATAAATATGTTCTGACATTTTTATTCTATGGACACCTGTAAGAAAAGTTTGCAGTAGTCCTAATTAAATATGAAGGAAATTATTTGGGTTTTTTTAGTTTTGGAAAGTAACATGCCAGTCAATATACAAAGAGAATCTTCTTTTCTCTGTAGAAAGAACAGGAATTGTTCTCCAACATGTCAGTTGGAGACTGTCAAAATAATCTTGCAGAAACTGTGATTCCTAGCACCAAGTATCTTCCTCAGTGGTGGAAAATTCCAAATATTGATGAAATAATGTTTAAATTAGAAGTAATTGAAATAAAAATAGCATCTTAACAAAATAAATGATTGCCCACAAAGATGAATTGCAAAACAAGTTTCTTATATTACTGCATCTATAACAAAATGCATTAATTGCCTCCATACCAGTGATAGTCATCCCATTTGTTTTGTTTTTAACTGATTTAATGACAAACAGATCCATTATAATGCCAAGCTGCTCCCATGTCATGCTTCAAATGTAATAATTTTGCAAATTATATATTTGCTTCAAAACATAACCTAGATTGAATTAGTTAGGGATTTTGCCCAGTTCTGGTTCTAAAATAACCTTATTGTCACCATAGTAGGCTACTGATAATTAAGCAGTAAGTAATCCGAGATTACTTTCTGCTAATGATAACTGAAAGAGAACAATTTATACAAACTTTTGTCCCAAAAGAACCTCAAAAACCAAAACCCAAAACACTTATCTGTCCTGTTAATTCTCAATACAGCTATAAGAATCACAATTTACGGGTTAGAATTGCAATCGTCAATCTTCAGAATGTGTACAGACTGAAAGTTTTCTATCTGAATGAGAATATATGGAAATCATTCTGATGATGGTAACACAAAGAAAATAATTATTTCTAAATTACACAGTTTTTTGAACTAGAAAACACAATGTTTGAAAATGCTAAACAGAAATAGAAAATTAGGATCAAGGCCCTCCAGACATCATACATACATACACTGTTGTCCTTAACCATACAAATGTTATTCCTACCAGAAGTCTGCCAAAGCTATTCTTAGACTTCCATTGACGAAGAATCCACAGACATCCCAGTAATCCCATTTCAGCACCTAAGTAATCGTATCATTTGAAAGTTTTCTGTAATGTTGTGGTTTGTCTAAATCACATGGGGCTAAACCACAACAAATGTTTACCCTGAAACTTCTTTGCTTTCCAAAATATTTTTTCTCTTTTATACTATTCCTCTCCTTTTTTTTAACAGTCTTATACACATATGAAAACTGCTATTACACTTCCTGTCATTCCACTGCTTCCCAGAAGAAACAAATCCAATTCACTGCATCTTTCTCTTTAGGTTAGGTTTTCTTAGACTTCTGATAATTTCTGTTGTTCTACAACTCTTTCCATCTGGTAAACTTCCTTCATGACATTTGATGCCCTAAATGGAACTTAGTGCTCCTCCTTATTGAACACCATCCTTCTTTTCTATATTATCAATTTGCCAAAATCACTTTGACTTCTATTCTTGTTCCCTATTATACGTGAAGTTCTGGTGTCAAATCTAGATTTAACAAAATTAATTTTTATTCCATCATCCAATTTATCAATGACATAATTGAAGTCTGGATCCCAACACAATGCTTAGTCCAACTGTAGATTGATGTAGCCTTTAATTTTGTCTCTAAGTAATTGACAATTAACTTCTCAGAGTAATTTTCTAATGAGTTGCTTATGTACCGTGTAGTTATTTTGCCTGCTTTCTGCTTCCTCAACTTGTTTTTTAGAATGCAAGACAGCGTTAAAAAGTATTTTTCTTCTATCCACCAGTGCTGTTACACTCTTATAGAAGAAAACTGGATACAATTTCTTCATGAAATGTCCTGGCACACTGTTACTTATCCTTACCATCTTAGAGGTGATTCCATACTCATTATTTGTTCCACATTTCTCTGGTAACTGACTGGTGTCTAGTTCCTTGGATGTTCCCTTTCTAAAATGGATACTACATTTCATCTTTCCAAGTCTTTCAATTCATCATCCATTCTCCATGTGTTTTCAAAGGTAACCTGTATTAGGCAAGCTTCTTACAGTCAATTTTCTAAAAACTAGGCTTTGTCAACCTGTCTTCACTAATCTGATTAAGTCATTTAAGCATGTCCCACCATTTTTTCTATATTTTTGAATGAGAACTTACTCTGTTCTTATTAATAATGTTAGCCACCCGATTGTACTTAGGTAGTGGATCAAGAATTTCCTTGGTCTTTCTTTTAACTAACATATTTGCAGAATGACTTATTGTTACCCTTATGATTCTTGATATTGCATCTTATTTAGTATCTTGACTTTTTTGATTTATCCACAAGCACATGCTATATTGTGTAATACTTGTAGCAATAGGGTTACATTTCTACTTTCTGGATCTTTAAAAAAAGTTAATTTATTGATTGATTAATTTATTTTTCATGCTTTATATATATCTCTGTGTAATTACAAGTTAGGCCAGTACCCCTCCCCCCTTTTTTAATTTACTAACAATTCTTACATTAATTTTTTGACATTTATCTTTTAAATTAATGAAAAATTTTGACATTCCAAAGTTTTGCTTATTTTTGGAATTATTTTTGATGCTTTTCTGGCTTTTGATGCTTTTCTCATCATTGATAAAAGATAGTTACAGTCTTCTCAAGCAAAGAACTTATGTTTGTATAAATATGCTCATGACCATAATCCCCTAAAAGTGAAAACATTATAAAGTAAACTTGTGTTACTTTGTTAGCCAACATGTAAGGTCTTTGACTTCAGTAAAACACCCTGTTATAGCTCATGTCTATAATCAATGGCCTGAAAATGTTTTTATTTTTACACAGTTTATCACAGGCCATTGCATTACATTGGTTTATAAATTTCAATTTATAATCGATTGTCTTCTTCTGGTGAAAGCCTTTCCTAAAACTAGATATTTACACATTCTGTCACATATTGGAATTTTTGTGTCTCACAAATCCAGCTTCAGCCAGCCATTGTCTTAGTTGAGAGTTTTAAGTCATGTTTCTTATTTCATGCAATTTTTTAATGAAATCTGTAGGAATTTGACTGAGGTCTCGACTCTGTTAAACTTGATTTACATTGGTCAATGGGATCAAAAGTTCTTTCCTGCAAATGCATGCTCTCTCTCTTGCTCGCTTTCTCTTAGACACACATGCACACACAAAAAAAATCAAATTTAAAAGCATCTATCTCCTAGGAATACACTGAAAATATTATTTTGATTCACAAATACATTCTGGATTAGTCAAATTCTTTACCTGACAGATGGACCAAGCTTATATTGTTATATACAAATTAAGCAGGTTTTTCAAGACAGGATTGTATTTTTGACCTGTTTTTGTAGGGCCTAGCAGGAAAACACAGAGGCAGGAGCAGAGTTTTTGAATGGTAGTGCACTGTAAATAATAGTGAGATGCACCTTCTTATCCTCACTCTGCCTCTAACCCTATCCATGCAAATACTGAATAATGAACAGTAATGTTTTTTAAAAAATAAATATATACCAAGATTAAAAAGAATGAAGTGCAATTGGTTGGCATGTTTCCTTTAATCTCATTCAATGATTCAAGATATCTATTCGAAATTATTAATAAAATGGAGAGATAACCGAATCTTTGTGTAGAACAAAACTGATATTTGGATGTTAGTAAGACACAGCTGTCAGGTGTGAATCACATATTCCCCAGTTTTATGGTCAATTCAATAAAATGGTTCCTTCAGCCAAAAATTTATTTAGTGCACACACACACAAAATCTGTTAATGCAGCATTTTGCCATTAGGAATTAAATTGTACAATAAAAATGAGAAAGTAATGTATACTATACTGTTTCTGAACTAAGTACAATACCCTCTGAGAGTTAATTCAGAGTTATCAGGCTCAATAACATTGAAAAGTCCTCTCTCTGCACACGAATGTTAGGGATGTGCTAAATGTTATAGATGGACTTACCAATGGTGTATCTAAAATCTAGTCACTGTTTTCATCTCTATCTTGACGTACTAGTGTCATCACATTTATCAGATAATGGTTGTTATTATTAGCAAACCAGTCAATCAAATGTCAAAATCTGCCCTTTTCCCTTTCTGCAATATACAGGATAAGGATGGCAGATGAGTCCAACAGATCATCCTGATGAAGAATACTCTATACCAAATTCAGAATGACAGTTACACAAAATGGTCTATCACAACACCATATGAATCAACTATCATGTCAATCATATCTGGAACTTTCCAGTAAATATGTTTGAGTGGGAGTATTAGTTCACTCAAAGGAGCATGAATAATACAGCTATTATTTCCAATTAAAAGACAACCAATTTTATCACAGATGAAGAGACAAACAAGAATTTGGCTCAGCATCTGAAATTTAAACTAGACATTAAACTTAAACTGTAGAAACTTTAGTTGATATTTACAAATGTATTTTCTAACTGACTAAAGAGTCTTCAGTTTTTAACCACTTTATAGCTATCAACTTTCCCATCAAAACAGATAAAATAAAAGAAACTTTTAAATTGGTAATGTATTATATAATTAATTAGAAAACACATTAGTTCTCAGAAAGAGTAGAACATATTCAATAAGATATATTCTAACTTTGAAAGGCAACCTCAGAAAGTAATGGCATAAGGAATGAAAGGTTTTGTAGCTATTACTGGAAGTGAGTGACTCTTAATGAAAGACCAAACATGTTTGGTTTCTTCTTGAAATATGCATCCAGTTTCTTCTTTCCAGCACAGTGGGAATGATCAGCATAGATATTCCAGGGTTATTATCCCAAAAGGAATTTTCTCCTCGTTGGGTTTATTTTACTTAACCAGTTATCAATTCCACCCCTTATCAAAGACTGGGAACCAAAGGAAACTAACAAAGTTAAACATCTGAGAGTCCACTGAACAACGTAACAGCTTGCAATAAAATGCAGTTAACAGTCATTTCCCCTTCTTAGCTTAGCTGCAAATTTTGCCTCAAGTTATGTTCAGTGGATCTCAGCAGAAATGTTCTTGAAGCAGCCTTCAATAGCTGAAGAATATGCATAGTACAGAATTAACAAACCTCCACTCAGATTCTCATGATTCCAGAGGGGTGATCAAGGCATCTATGAAGATCCTACATAGTGTTTCTTCTGCAAGTAAGTCAAGACGACATATAAATTTTTGGGTTGGGGGGCGTTGTGCATTGTTACTAAATGACTCGAAAGGAGACAGCATAATAAGCAGGCAAGCAGAATGGCAGATAAGAACCCTAAGAAAAATAAAGTTAAAATGTTTTTTAAAGACCAACAATGAACTCATTCATTGTTGAACAATAGAATATATAGAACGACAACGGAAAAAGATAAATAAATAACAGGAAAGAAGGGAACGGAGAAAGGAGAGCACCATGAAAACAAAGAAATTAAAACACAGAAAGGAAAAAAAAAATATATATAAAAAGTAAGACAAGGCTTTTAAAGTAATAAATGAATAAGGTTTTTGCATAATGGTTTCAGAATATTATTCTGATGACTTTTAACATTCATCAAAATGTAACTGGCGCTTTTCCTTAAAATAACGGCAACAACACAGAAACCCTTCCATGGTAGCTAAACAAAGAAGAAATTATGAGCTCTGTAGGTATGCCTGACTCAATAGGAAGAACTTATTTGTTAGAAAAATATTTTGTTTGCAAAGTATTCCTGAAATATGGAAGAACCCAGATTGATCTCTACATTCTGGGCTGAATCACCAGTGATAGATGTTTAGATAGCTTCTTTCTACTGCAACAAGAACAATGTCACAGATTCACTGAGAGAGTAAAAGTGAAATAACATAAAAAAGAAACAATAAAACTGCTAGTCAAAGCGTGGGAGGCTGCAGGGAGGACTATCGAAACACTGCTCAGGCAGGATGCAATGGTGTTTGGAAAGCCAAAGCTTAACCAGAATTGAAACTGGCAAGGGACATCAGTAGCAATGGAGCACTTTTACTGCTGCATCGGCTATGTTTTAAAAAAGAGTAAGTGAGCTTGCTGTTGAACAAGGGCAGGTGGTTTAATGACAGTAAACACAGATAATGCGAAAGTACTCAGTGGTGTCTTTTTCTCAGTCTTTATCAACAAGGTGTAGGCTTTGTGTCTACAGGCAGGGTTCAAGAAAAAAAGAAACTACCATCAGATAGAGATTAAAATAAAATAGAGATTACTGGAGAGAACTCAAAACATAAAAGTCCATGGGACCAAATGAGATGCATCTGAGGGTGTTAACAACTGTTGGCTGGTATCACTGCAAAGCCATTCTCTACCATATTTGAAAGGCCATAGAGGTCAGGGGGAGGCCCCAATGACTTGAGAAGAAAAAATGTTGCATTCAGTTTCAAAAAGGGCAAGGACTTTCTGCACTTGCAGCCCAGAAAGACAACTGTACCCTGGGCTGAATCAAAAAAAGCACGGCCAGCAGGTCGAGCGATGTGATTCTGCCCTTCTACACCACTCTGCTGAGACCCCACCTGCAGTACTATGTCCAGTTTTGGAACCCTCAGCATAGGAAAGGCATGGACCTGTTTGAGCAGGTCCAGAGGAGGGCTGCAAAAATGATCAGAGGGATGGAACACCTCTCCTATGAGGAAAGGCTGAGGCAGTTGGGGTTGTTCAACCTGGAGAAGAGAAGGCTCTGGGAACACCTTATTGCAGCCTTTCAGTACTTAAAGGGGGTTTATAAGAAAGATGGGGACAGACTTTTTAGCAGGGCTTGAAGCAATAGGAAAAGGGGTAATGGTTTTAAACTAAAAGAGAGTAGATTTTGACTAGCTATAAGGAAGACACTTTTCACTGTGATGGTGGTGAAACACTGTTACAGGTTGCCCAAAGAGGTGGTAGATGCCCCATCCCTGGAAACATTCCAGGTCAGGTTGGATGGGGCTCTGAGCAACCTGATCTAGTTGAAGATGTCCCCGCTCATTACATGGGGATTGGACTAGATGCCCTTTAAAGGTCCCTTACAATCCAAACTATTCTGTGATTCTATGTTTCTGTGATTCTATGACTCCATGATTCCATGATTCCATGATTCAATTCAGGGAACTACAAGTTGGCCAGCCTCACTTTCATCCCTCGGAAAATCATGGTGCAAGAACTCCTGGAAGCTATTTCCGGGCACATGAATGAGGCTGTGGATCTCTGTCCTTAGGGGTTTTCAAGCTTTGACTGAAAAAAAGTCCTGAGAAACCTATTCTGAATTCAGTGATAATCTTGATTTGAGCAGAAGGCTGGAGTAGCTGCCCTCCTGAGGTCCCTTTCCATCTGAACAGTTCCATGATTCTGTGGTAGTAGAAGTCTATGTTTAGAGATCTTCTCTTACAAGTTGATCAGAGAAAAAAATGGAAATGGGAGAGCTTGGGAGAGCATAAATAATTAATTATAGCTTTAACCCCAATAACATGGGTAATGACATCAGTAGACACATGATGGGATAGATTAATAACCAGACTCCATGCCTGCTGAAGATGCTGAGGATCCACCATGTTCACAAGACTGCTTAAATGTATTCCTGATGTTGTTGCCAATCATGTCCAGCTGAGAGCAAACCAGAGTGTAACTAAGGTTTCAGTCTTTCTCAGTAAAGAGGTATAACCTTCCCAGTAGATACATCCTTAGAATTTTTCCTCTGTGAAATCTCTTTATTAAATTACTTCTACATTTAAACTTTCTGCCATACGACGCTCAAATACAGACACACCAAAGTGCAAAAATTATGATTCATGGAGAGCATTCTACTAGAACAAATTGTAGGTTTAAACAGTACAAAATGGAAGCACTATATCAAACTCCACTAGTATGGAGTCTTTCCATTTGTAAGATAAACTTTAAGCAAAAAGCTCTACTATATAAACAATGCTGTAACAATTAATGTGATGCCCAAGTAGGATCAAAACACTCTTGGTTGTAAAATATGTTTTGAATTGCAATGGGTTTAACTAAACTTATTTTCACTTTATTGTGATTGTGAATCACAGTATTGAGTAGTTAAACCAAACCAAATTACACAAAATTATATTCTGACATTTTCTAGTCTTGAAAAATGCTGTCCTCAGTGTTCAGATTTTTATGCTTTTTTTTTTTTTTTTAATTAATACTTCATCCATTCTAACTGATTTAATTATGGTTGATTTCCTCTAAGAGAAATATCTTGTGATGAACAGATCAGTTGCTAATAAAATATAATTTCTAATTTTTTATCTTTGTAATTCAATATTTATATTCCTCTAATTAATTAAGCAAAATTATTTTTAAAAATTTAGCTAAACAAAAAAATTCAGCCTGGCTTCCTAATAATGGTCATTCACATGTTTCTGTGAGCAGTAAAAAGATTTAGTGCAGTTTATATTAGTTCATCTGCTGTGTGAAAATTGTATTTTGTTTGAAGCAATCTGCATGTAGGTTTTGGACCAGTCTGTTGCAACAAGAAGTAAGAATGACAGATCTGGTAAGTAATGTCATATGCTATGACTGAGCAATATGCTGCATAAATTTATTGTGATTTATTAATAGTTCCTTGTATTACTACATTCACAATGTTTAAAGATCTGAATTTTAAAAAATCAACATTTTGTACAAGCGCTTACAAAAGATATTATGCAACATACATAACTATAATATAATTGCTTATGTTCGTTTTCTTTAAAATGTTCAATTTGCATAGTCAGATGAGTATTCAAAAATATAAACATAGTCATTGACAGAAGCACAATAAGTAAGAGCTAGAAATCAAATACTTCTATGCATACAACTATGCATACCTTCTTCAATGGGTTCATACTTCAAAATAATTTCTAAGGCAGTTGTTTCACAAGCTTCAGTTTCATATTGTTCTTTCTTGAGAAATTCAATGAGTTCAGTGTCAGCTAGAATTTTGCTGTTTGGAGAGTAAGCATGGAAAAGTTCATGAAATTCAGGTCTGTGTACAAGAGTTCGATAAATTGCCCTGAAATCTTCTATGTTAATCGTATGTGCCTTACGCTTGTCGACTGTTTTCTGAAAAGAAAAAAAAAAAAAAATCAAGCCAGTCAATACAACGATAGAAATGGTACAAAGATACACACAAAACACTCTATTATATCTGATCGTAAGAGCAAGAACAATAGAAAAAACCTCAAGCAACAGTGACTGCAATGCATTATCAAATTATATTCTTCTGCTTCTATATGCAACTTTTAGATTTGACTTTGTGTGATAAAAATATTTTATACAAATTAAAATGTACCATATGACATAATTAGTATCTAACTACAATAAATTTCTATATAACGCATATGCAATGTTAAAACATGTTATACAAAACTTCTAAAATGCTATGCAGTAAAATAAATCTGCAGCATAAAAATTATCAAGTGGAAAATATATTTAACATAATACCTCTCCAACAGCAATTTAAACCATATTGTAAATACTGTCAGTTGAATTTACATACAACATACAGGAAACAGTTATCTAAAAAATGAAATAAAGATGACAAAATTATCTTGAGATCCAATATATCAGGTAAGAAACACTATTAAAGTTTGGAGACAAGATACTTTATAATAAATTATGACATTGTGTTCTATTCTTAACAAGCCAGAATGTTTAACTCAGATTAATTATTCACACTTTCAGAATACTTAAACTGTAAGCTTGTTTTCATAGAGCTTACAAAATGTTAGCATATTAATTAATTTCAGTGTTTCACTATAAAAGCCACTAGAAAAATCAAAAGGGCAAAAGAATTTGAGTAGGATAATACTTTTTTAGCATTTCTGCCATTTACATTTTTCTCAGGCTTAACAATTTTATTTATCCTTTAAAATTTTCTACATGAAATATGTAATTGTGCATATAAAATATAGATGTTTCTAACAGTTTAGCTTGTATTATTCTTAAAGTTGCCAAATTAAGAGCAACTTTGGAAATTTACTGATAAAATTACTCACAAAAATCATAAATAAATGACAATTCTTTGCATCATTGATTATCACTGGAAGCTGATCAAATTTCATAATTGTTGGCTCCTTAAACTGGGACTACTAAAGAGGCTAAATTTCAGCATCTAATAACATAGCACCTACTATGCTTAGTAGAGATTTCCCAAAAGTTCTGCAAACATAAAATGTCTTATGAGCTTTAGCTGCTTTTTTATGAAGACTTTTGTTTACTACTAAATTAGATTAGTTTTGAAGAGACACCATGGAAACTAAAAGCCTAATGATACATTACCATCTTCTTCCTATGCAGTACAGTTCTACTAAGAGATGTCTGAATAAGTACAACAATAAAAGTAAGAATACTTTAGATAATCAAAACAAGTACAAAAAGAAATTTCATGAGGGGCTAGACAGAAATTTTACAGATCATTACTTAAATATTTGCTTTGAATTTGTGAGAGAATTATAATGATCATTTTTAACAAAAATCACTAGCACAAAAGTAATTCAATACAAATGCTAATAAAATGCATTTCATTACTGCTTGAGAAATCCCACAAGGTTGATATCCTAGATCTAATTTTTAACATGTTTAAGAAAACTGCAAATTTACTCAGAACTGTTAAATAGAAAAAGAAAATACCAACTTATTTTGGAATTAAACTATATATCAGGACTCAGGAGACATCCACTTCGGTATTAGCACAATGTGAAGCTGGGCAAAAAATTAGATTTTCTGTCTCAATTGCGTCTTGATGAAATACAAACAATAATACTACACAGGGGAGATTTTCACAATAAAGTTAAGAAAATCATGTTGATATAAAAAAAAAGACTGTTAGAAAATCTTTGTGGGTAGATTTCTGTTATTCTTATTTTTATTAGTGCACATCAAATCTTTTCTATTCAGAAAAAGAAGTATCTTGACAAGGACTTAGTCTGGAGAGGAATTATATGAAAATATAATTCCTTAAAAGTCTTAATGTTCATAATTCTGATATTGTTTAAAAGAGCATTACAGTAAAATAAATTCAAAGAGAATAGACAAGAAAAAAGCAGATTATTCTTTTAAAACTGCTTTCTATAAAATAGATTTTGTCATGTATAGTCATTCAATTAACTGTTGATGTATAGTTACCGACAATGATGCCAGTAAAATTTCCTTCCAGGCTGCTTTGCATTTTTACATAGTATTATACTGATGAACAATTTGAGCCCCAAAACTACTGAAAATACTCAAAGCCCTCTCAAACAGCAAAGAATGACTAATAGTACTACTACAAATAACTAGATCAGACTGTTAAGTACATTATATTGTTAAATAAAACTAGATCAAACTTGTTCTATGCAGGTCAATTCCTCAAATAATTACTCTCTTCTCTACCCACAGTTGATCATCCCTCTCTAAGTTCTGTCAGAAAGCAAAGTAGGTGGAAAATACAGGAAATAATAGTTTAAAATTTTCATGTGATTCTCAAGGTTGGAAATTCTCTCAACACAGTGCAAGTTGAAAAACCACAGGCAGACTCTTCAACAAGGGTTGAGTTCATGCTGCCAGTTTTACCTTGGCTTGACAAGGCAGAGAACAATGAGAGAGGAACAAGAGAGTGAGGCAATGTTAATGCCTTCCCTCTGCCTGCCTGCCTGCCAGCATGACGTGACCTAAAAGTTTCTGAATTGCCATAGCTAACTGTCCTCTGATGAAGCTGGACAGAATCAGCCAGCTGGTTACAAAATTCGCAAAGAAATTAAATATAGGCAGAGCCACTTGGCTTAATTTCCTTAGGAAAACAGCTTTACCAAACAGTTATTTCTGGTAAAAAAATGAGCTAAAAGGAAAAATCATACATCTTTTGAGTAAATACTAGATGGGACTTGAAGAACACCACAGCCCACTATGTGCAAAGGCACTCAATTTTGCAGCATATGCTCACTGGGACTGAATTCCACTTGATGGTAGTTTGACTACCTACATTAAGTTAACTTATTAGTAAGTCCAATTTCTAGCTGTATCATGTAACCTTTGCAGAAATTTCTTAAACATTGTCATATCTCAAGGCAACATCCTTTCCCGGGGTTAGAGTGCAATTCCCATCCATTTAGGCACAGGTCTTAAGTACTTCAAAGCAGAAGTATAGTGGAATATTGAATGAACAAGTGTGCTGGATCTATGCTGACCTGAAGCCTGAGCAGATCAGACAACTCCAAATTGTACTCCTGGCAAAAGGATTTTTAGGAAGTCACTCTAATGGCTCTGCCCAGCACCAGACAGGTATGTCTGGGCTCGTTAGCTTGATCACAGAAGCATCTGGGTGGGATGAAACCAGGATATTCTAATTTTTCTCAAGTGAGGCCTTGTTACAAAAAAGTTGGGAATCCAGATCTACATATTTTCCAACACCCTACACTATTTTGGTGTGGTGAAGAGAAGGTGGTAATGCAACCACTCAGTTATCTATTTTACAGAGAAACAAAAGACCTGGACAAGGCAAATTATTTGCTGGTTTTGCACATCCCACTAGCATTCATTTCTCAAAACAATAATTGTAAAAAGTCAGCAAATATAAGGCACTTATGTAACTGGACTTCTAAATGTATTTAACCGCTTAATCTACATACTCCTCACCTTAAAAACATGTTTTAAATGTGCGAAATCAAAAGGCATCTGCAGTTTTTCAAGCAGCTTCATTGTGCTGTCTAAATCAATCTTCCCAGTCCTGAACTCATTCTGGATGATGGACAAAAACCACGTATGAGAAATCAGGTTAAGGAAACTTCTGGCCTGTGTCATTGTCTTTTAATAGGGGGGGCAAGGGGAGAAGTTTAATTTTTTTTAAATCTAAAAAGCATGCACATTGCTTTTCTCATACTCCAGAACATCCTAGTCTTCCAGTTTCTAATAATGCTGTAGGCACGCAGGAAGACATTTTTGCTCTGCACCCAGAAACTCTGTGGGCAAAGGTGACAAAAAGGGCCAGAGAAAGAGAAGGGGGGTGAGTGAAGGAAAACAAGGAGTGGGTTAGGGTGAAGAAGGGTGTGCAGTGAGAGAAGGGAAATGTGTGGAGGCCAAGGGGATCCAGCAGCTGTAGGGAACGGTGGGAAGAGGAGTGCCAACAGCAAGCAGCAACGAGGTGAGGGTGCCCAGCATTGCGCCCACCCAACCAGCCTCAACCAGCCCCGGCTGGACCAGGCCAGACCAGACTGGACTGGCTGCCCCAGGCCCTCTCCTGCCACCCAGCTGGGGGTTCCATGCGTGCACAGGCCTAGGTCCTGACATGGGGGGAAAGGGGCACGCAGGGGGAGGTCAGACAATAGCAGTGGTCACAGGGCAGGGAGAGGAGATGAGGCAGAGAAGGTAGAGCAGCAAAAGGAGGAGGAGGAGGTAGAGCAAGAGGAGGATATCTGTTCTCCTCCATGGCGGCTCTGCATCGCTTGCTCTGGTCTCTTCACTGCAGTGGCATTGGCAGCGTTTGGCAGGACATCACCTCTGCTTGCTGTGGTTCCTGGCAGCGCCCTTCCCCTACCCTCCTACCCCTGTGCCCCTGCCGGGACGCCCAGCGCCCTCCTGGCACAGCCCCCAACCTTGGGCCCCCACCAGCCGCTGTGAGGTCACAAACTGCGGGTGCCCAGCGCAGGCCCCTTCCCGCCACCACTCCCCCCACCCCGGCTACCATCTTGTGCCTTTTCCCTCCAGCACAAAGTGGGCTGCGTGCCCACCCCTCGCCTGCAGTCCCCCACTCCTTGGACAGCCCTCACGCCCAGCATGTGCGCGAGGCAGGAGCTGCACCAGCCGGAGAAGGCGTCTCTCCTTTGCGGCCTACTGCGCCAGTCTCCCCCGGGGGAATTTTGCCAGCTTGTTCGCGATCTCTCCGCTCTGGTGCAAGATGACAAGCTGGTGAGGCAGGAGGCTGCCCACATGGCGGCCTGTCACAACAAGAACAACTTCACCCCCATCCAAATAAATGGGCACACTGTGCTACTGACCCACTACAACAACTTAGGGGGAAACCGCTTCTTTGACCCTCAGGGTAAATTCTCTTTTGAGTTTGACCACCTGCGTGGGGTAATCAGCAAACCCCAGCTGCACGGTGTGATGCTAGATGAGGGGGAGCTGTGGCGAGAGGCCCTCCACAAGGGCTTGAAGGCCTACGTGAGCTGCCATTTTCCTGTAGGGAACTGCTGTGTGTTCAAAAAAAGCCTGGGGAAGAGGCAGATGTTTGTGGCCTGCATTGAGGCTCATCAGTACCAGCCTTCAAATCACTGGAAGAGCCTTTGGAAGTCAGACTGGACTTTTGCCTTGACTCCCTTTACCACACAAGTTACAGGGATCTTTCTCCTCCAGATACACTACTTCAAAGATACCAACCTCCACATAACTGTCAGCAAGTCTGTGAAAGAGACTCTAAATGTTATAGACCGAAGTCAGTTTGCCACAGATTTTGTGAAATTTGTGAAAGCTGAGGACACCAAGTTTCATATTGCCATCCTGGAAAACATTCAGGCTTTGTCAGAGAATATATGGGGAAAAAATCTGCGGAGGAAACTCCCTGTTACTCGCACTTTTATGAACTGGAATAAACTATTGAATGATCAGCATCTGATCACAAATGTCTCAAATACAGAAGTGGCTCCATGCTTACTGAAACGCACTATTTGATATGGTGGCCTAAATAAAAAAAAGCAGAAAAAGACAAAACGGAGGTGTTTAGTTGAGTTATTTCTGGATTACTCAGGAGAGTGCAGAAACTGTCATCAGTCAATCACCTCTTCAAAAATAATTCATATCTGTAGTTTTATTTTTTATTCTCTTCATGTACTTTTCAACTGCTTCTAGAAGTACTAGTAATGGCCACTGTCAAAGGCCCAACAGTCAGTGCTACAGGTAAGACGACAAGCAAACTCTTACTTTCCTTTGTAATTTTACCCAACATTATATTTACTTATGTAACTTCATATTATATGTAGCATTCGTTATAAGGGTATCAGTAAGATAGGCTGGCAAACATATTGAGGCATTATTTCTAGATTTTTTCATTGGTACTGAAACCAAGGAAATTGAGCCTTCAAGCTTTGCTTGTGGATACCTCTCTGTATGCCCAAGAGACATCCCTGAGAGTCACAAGAACAAAGGGAGATCAGTACACAGGAGGAATAAATTTCTTATAGCTAGCGCAGAAGGTATTTCAGGACTGAGCAGGGATGTATGCTGGGTGTTGCAGTATTACAGAATAAAGTAATACTTCTTTCCTTCTCCCAGAGTTTATTACAAATGCAAAAGGAATGTATGTGATTTTGGTTTTCCTTCAAACTATGACAGTGATAATTTATTAACATGTTTATAACAATAAATGAGATGCCTACCACACTTGCTGTTTTCTGTAAACATAGCTTTTAATTAGAGTTTTATTAGAAACAAAGTTTAATTTCAAGCAGTAATATAAACACTAAACTTTCTAAAAATATTTATGTGAATGTTTAAACATTATTCTTAAAAATATTAGGTGTTTTTAATATAAGCATGAGATTTTGCTTTTTTTCATCACTGCTGGTGGCAATTATGTTGTCACATGGGTTGAACTAGTCAGTGGCTTTATAGCTTAAATGCTCAGACTGGCCACGATTCCTTGTTTTAAAATGCAGTGAAGAACTAGGCACTGTTATGGTTTTGGGGATAACCAACATGGTGCGAAAATGCCATCTTCAGATTACTCTTCTGATGCAAAATAAAGATTTTTCATCTGTACTAACATCTGATTTGGGAGGTTCCTTACTCTATACATCTGAATATGATAATTAATTACCCAGACAAACCAATAACAAAAAGGTGTCTAATATAAAAAACATCATTCGACATCATTCTATATTGTTGATGACAAAGTCATATGCTCAGTTTTTATGTATGAGCATACTAATGTACAAAGCCTAATTGCAGAAGAAGAGGTTGTACTGTTGCCAGTATCTGAATGAAACTGAAAGGAATTAAATAATTCCTTTGATATATAATTAATTTCTTCCGATTTGCATTGACTAGAGCACATTTTTCATCTGATTGTTCATCTTTATGGTCACTCAGCACAAAGATTCTGGGAGTGTTATACTAATTTATGGGCAGAAAGGTGCTTATCACACAGGGTTTCCTTCCTGCAAGCAGAAAGCAGACTGCTGCCCTTGTAACAATGTCTCTCGACAATGCCTTTTACAGATGCCCATTTGTTAGATAATCTGCACCATGCACTTGAAGAGGGAGAAGGATGGAGCATGGAGAGCATTTTCTGTGCTCCTCTGGTTCTTCACAGAAAGCTGTATTACCTATGGGTCATTCTTTTTTCACCCCACAGCTGCTACTGAGATCCGTCCAACACCAGTCCAGCCCTTTTAGTGCCGATGTTGCTGCTGGACACCATTCAATAAGCAAGCAGCTGTCTTTACATGGCATTTATTTGAATGTGACTACTTCTTTACTGAAAATAAGAGTAATTTTATTAAAGATGTTATACAACTCAGGGCTGCTCTAATGAAGATGGCTTGTTGTGAGTGTAGTTCATACCTACAGTACGGAATAATAGATGAAATTTTGGACATAAATTTAAGTGCTAACAGAAACAGGGTCATAGCACTGGAAATTCTGGATTGTGAAAAAAGCACTTTATTCAAATACAAATATTGAACATGAGATAACAATAAGGAACAGTAGGGAATGATGGAAAAGACTAAGCAGTTATATGACTTTTAGTTTTAACATTTTTTCCACCAGAATCAATCCTTTATGAGATGCAAATATATGACACTTTCCTGCCTTCCCTATCAGTTTACCTTTATGAACTTTCCATTTTCCTTCACTTTCCTTTTTCTATAAAAGAGGGAATCTGTGATACAAGAATCTACAATAAAAGCTGCTTAGAGGGAAGGAGTTCAGGCAGAGTAAATGTTCTCATCTGGCTGTAAATGCTTACACATTTTTCACAAAACCTATGAAACTGATCTGGAAAAGGTAATTACAATACAGGCTTTGTCAATTTTCCCTCTACATTCTCCATCATGGGCTTGGAATTTTTTTTCTTTTGGAAATTTTTCTTAGAAACTTGAGGAGGAATAAACATTATGAGAAGAAAGCTCAATGTACAAGTTTCAGTGTACAACTCCATTGAATACTGAAATTTTACATATACACTTTTGTGACTCTGAATGTGTTTGAGATTCAGTTGCAACTTCTTTCTCTTTTGTCCATACTAGAATTTTTTTTTGTTGTATAGGGAACACATTACAACTCGTGTTATCTTTACTCTTAAAATCCCCCTCCTTTTCTGCCTGCTGCTTTGAAAACCATTTACATTCTTACAGCTGCCTGTGGATCCATCTCTTTTTATTTGCATCGGTACCCCATATTTTAAGAAAAGAAATGAAGAATATTCATATAAAATGAAAAAAAAGTTCTTAAACTGTATCTTACAATGGCTTTCTACTGCAGCCAGGAGTATAGCATACCTACAATTGAAGCTATATCTACCTATTTACAACCACAACTATGTACCGTTAAAGACTTGTTTTGTACCTGCAAAAATACATTATCATCAAGTATCTCTCTGTAATATGTTTCCAATACTGCTTTCTCCTTCTTCTTGTCTTTGGTTTTTACTGAATGGACACAGTTATTTGCCCCAAGGAGAAGATCACCTACTCTACCAGTTCAGAACATTTACATGATGAGAACTAATTTACTTTCAAAATAAAATGTGAATTTTGTTGAAACTCTCCTTCTTCATTTACAGGCTTGCAGACTCATTGGAATCATAAAGTTGGTATAAATGTACTTGAGCCAAATTGGCTTAAGCTTTTGATTTCTGAAAATTATTTTGTATCTACCATTAATTGTTGCTGCAAAGAAAATTATCGTTTTTATTACACCAGTAACATTAGAGCTTAACTTGGACTTCATTGTCAGCTTCCAGCTGCATTAAATTTGGAAGAAAATCAACACTTACTTTTAGTATTTGGATTGAATATCTAATGTTCACATTATAAACTTCGCTTCACGTTTTGCTTGCACTGCAGCAGGTGGAAACCCTATCAAAATGAGGACACTTAGCAAAACAAGTTTCATCATTTCATTTTCAAATATATGTGTTGAATTAAAAGCACCTTTCTCTGTAGTTCCAGAACAGATCTTAACAAGCAACAGAATCTTTAACAAGCATTAAAGATTCACATTATCTGTTGGCAGAAATCAAGGTCTATCAATACTGCTGGTCATTGGAAGAAATTAATGTTTTCCCCCTTACATTCTCCAAAAACAGTACTAATTCTTTCTTTGCTTCATTCATAGAATGAACAAGACCACATTGTAACAAAAACCCCACCCCTACTTGTAAGATTTGCAGACTGTAGCATGTATTAAAATTTTCATTTTATTCCTTGC